AAGAAAGATAAACACTTCTCCATGGCCCGTTGGAGTGGTGAGGGTCTCTCAGGAAGTCCAAGGGGAAAGAGAGCACTGCCGCTGGGGCCTGGGGGGCAGGGAGGGCTTCCTGGAAGAGGTGAGTCTGAGGGAGAGAAGAAGAAGCCCGGTAGGGAAGGGGGAACAAGGGACAGGGACAGTGATAGCAAAGGTGTGGAGGAAGGAATTATAGGCCAGGCCAGGCCCTGACATGGAGGCGCTGTCACTGTGGAGGTGGCTGGGGGTGTGGCAGCCAGACAGCTGGAGGTGGAGGCCATTCCGGAGACCCCACTGGGACCAGCCCTCCGGGCAGTGGGGGGGTCCTGAGGACCTGAGCAGGTCAGTGGCCATCTGCCCTCTCCTGGGTAGTCCCGGTCACTCTAATTAGGGGTGAGCTGGAAAGTTGCCCGGGGCAGAGCCAGGCCTGCCAGCCCCAGGGGAGAAGTCCTCTGCAGAGGGGACACAAACATGGGGCTCCCGGGAACACGGGAAGCAGCTTGGGGTGGAGGTGGCTCGGTGGAAAGACTGCCTTTCCCCAGCGTAAGTCTTAGAACCCAGAGGGCAGGGTTCAGTGCCTAGGACACACGGGGAGAAGGGCTCCATGTCAATCAAAGGATCCCCAGCTTCCTGGGCGTGGAGGAGGCATCTTGAGTCCCCCTGGGATTGGAAGAGTCATTGTGTACTGAGTCCCCATGGCTGGTCCCTGGCAGTGTCTCCCCATCTCAGCTCTGCCCTTGCTGCAGCCGCAAGCCTCCCGGCCTCACCGTGGCTGCTGGGCTTCTCCGCAGAGCAGTCCCCAGGGCCAGAGGATGTGCCGGATCATATTGTTCCTCATTAGGCAGCAGCTGGGAACTCTGAACGTCCCAGCCTAGCCAGGCGGCCGGGCCTGGGGGACGCAGCGCAGGCCAGGAGCATTAGCTGCGCATTAAGTCTTGAGCATGCTGCTCTCCTCCATCCATCTGGTCCTCTCCCCTGGGACTGCTGAAGAACAAGTGTGCTGTTTGGTAACTGCCTGTTGGGGACATGTTCCTCTGCTGTCCCCAGAGAGCCTGAGCCTGCACCTTGGCTTTGCTGTCCATAGCCCTGGGACCCGGGTCCCTTCTGTCATCCTAATTATTCTGATCGCCATGTGTTTGATGCCAGGCAACCACCAGTTTGAGGATGTTCCCAGCCAGAAACTAATCACTGTCTAAAACCTAAAACCTAATGAAAGGTGGTCCCTGGATGGCACGGGGTTTTGTGGGTAGGGAGGACAGGATTTGGGAATCTTAGCGAGTGGGTGAGGACCTGCCAAATAACGTGGAGTGCGTTAGGTGCTGTGGGAAGGGAAAGAGGAATGGGGTGCAGAGGAGACCTCACACTCCCTTAATGTAAGATTCCCACATTCCCTACTTCCCACCTGCATTGTCCCTCCGTCTCAGAGCGTGTCCCATGATGCTCTTTGAGTTGATCGTACCGTGTTACGTGGCTGGCTGGTGCCCTGCACGCCTGGATTTATGTTAGCACATTGTCGTATTTAGTCAGCTCAGGCTGCCGTAACAAAACACCGCAGACTGGGGGCTTAAACAGCAGGAATGTATCTGTCACGGTGTTAGAGCATGGGAAGTCTAAGATCATGATCCCAGGCAATTCGGTTCCTGGTGCGGCCCCTCTTCCTGGCTTACAGACAGCCACCTTCTCATTGTGTACTCGTGTCCTCACGCGGTGGAGAGAGGGAGCCCTCTGATATCTCTCTGGTAAGGACACTAATCTTATCAGATCAGGGCCTCCCCCTTAGGAGCTCATTTAATCTTCATTACCTCCTAAAGACCCTCCTAAAGACCCTATTTCCAAAAGCAGGCACATGGAGGGTTAGAGCTTCAGCATGTGAATTCGGTGGGGGGACCCAGTGAAGCCCATAGCACACATCTTGAATGTGTACTTGGCCAAAAAGAAGATACGGGAATAGATGGAACTAATGGATACTGGGACAGACCCTTGCGTGTGTTACAGGTGTACCTGTGCCCTTCGTGTCCCGATGAGGCAGAGGTGAGTCCCGTGTGACTCTGTACCATCAACAACCAGATCGAAACATTCCTGAGTTCGCAGGTCCACGGGGGACTTGTGATGATTTTCTGACATTATTTTATTGATTTATTTATTTTATTACAAGTTATTTATTTGTTAAGTCATTAGCAGTTTGTACAGTAGAGGGAGAAGTTGGTCATCATTGGCGCACCTGGCCCTAAGGAAAAGACAGCTGCCTCCAGCCTGAACTTTCCCTGGGGTGGAGGGAGAAGAGGGAAGAGGGAGGTGGGGAAATCACCTGGTGGCGAATTTTCAGAGGGCCAGAGTCCAGCCTCTTCCTGTTAGTGTCTCAGAGTGGATCTGTCTTGGTGAGACTGCCGTACAGTGCCCAGAAGGCTCATGTCCCCCTCCCTAGGACACCCCCTTCTCCACAGCCAATCCCTGAGTTTTCATGAGAAGCACGATGAGCCATGGTCAGGGTGCCAGGTCTGAAGCCAGGCCAACCTGGGCTCAACCCCCTTCTCTACCACTCTCGGGACCTGTGGGCAGGTCACATGACCTCTGATTTCTCATCCCCAAGTGAAGATTAAACGCCCGCCTCACAGAGTTGTTGCGGAGGTTAAGTGAGATTGCGCCCACCGAGCACTCAATGCCAACAGTCTCACTTCATATAAAGCCCGTGTGCCACTGATCCAGTGTCTCTTTCCCATGACCCGTGCTGGATGGCACTGCCAGGTCCTGACGTCTTAGGTGTCTCTTTCCCATGCTCTACAGCTTGGCAAATCTTTTCTAGTATATTTTTAACAGCAAAACATTCCCCCCCCCCACATCAAATCTTATGTGGGACCCTAACACCTAAAAGTGACAGATGTGGAGTTGTGCTCCTGGGAGCTGGCACGGGCCTGGAGACCCCCAGTCAGCCTCCCCTGCACTTCCTGGAGGAGCCCAGGGGCCCTCCAAGGAACGTCATTTCAGAATCATTCTTGTGGGCTGCCCCACTTCCTTTCCAGTCCCAAAGTCACCATCCCGTCCCAGCACAGTGTTACTGTTTCAGTTTTGGAGTAACCATCTCATTTCGGTCCTGCATCTCTGAGTATTCCAGACTCTTCAGTTACACCTGTGCAGTCCAGTGGCCACTCCTGCAGGTGGCCGAGCCCCTCAGGTGCACGTAGACTTCGCTGGTTAATTCGCAGAAGCACACTTTATTTACTGGGTCGTAGAATACACCTTTCATTGCCCTATGCATGGCCAACCTGAGTGAATGAAATTTAACTTTTATTGTTCAATGAGGTTATGCATATAAATAAATCCACAAATGAGGAAAAGTGCTTCGTAATATTCTATGTCATGGTTGTTGGTTTGTGAGATGGGCCGCAGTAGGTGTGGGAGTAATATGCAGAAAAGACATCATGGAACCTGGGTCTCCCTGTCTACACCAGCCACACAGAGTCCAAGGCTACCTGTAGGTGAAATCTACTTAGCTTGATCCCCTTGTGTGGCTTTTCTGAGTATTCACCTCTAAAAGATAAGGTCGTGGGGTTTTTCTCTATAATGGCTTTATTGAGATATAATTCACATACCACACAATTCATCCATTTAAAGTGTATAATTCAGTGTTTTTTAGTATATTCCCAGAGGTGTGTGATCATTACCACAATCAATTTTTGAACATTTTTATCACCCCAGAAAGAAATACCATATGCATTAGCAGTCACCCCTCACTTCTCCCCAGATCTCCTAACCCTAGGTGACCACTAATCTTTCTGTCACTATGGATTTGCCTATTCTGGGTATGTCACATAAATGGAGCCATCCATATGTGGTCTTTTGTGTCTGGCTTCTTTCACTTAGCATGTTTTCAAGGTTCATCCATGTGTAGCATGTGTCAGTACTTTGTTCCTTTTTATTGATGAATAATATTTCATCATATGGAGAACCCACATCTTCTTTATCAGGTGATGGACATTTGAGTTGTTTCCACTTTTCGGCAATTATGAATACTGCTGCTGTATACTTCGTGCACAAGTTTTTGTGTGGAGATTTTCGTTTTTGTAACCTCCTCTCTATCAAAGGAATTAAGGATCTCAGTATCTAGATTTATTTATTTCCTACTGTGTCCAAGATACTGTGTCGAGCACGTACTATTTCATGTAATCTTCACAACAGCTCAAGGGGCAGGCAGTCTCCACTCCCTTAGAAGCGAGGAAACTGAGGTTCCATAGCCAATAAGGGGTGGAGCTGGGATTTGAACCCAGTTCTCTGTGATATCATAGCATTTATCTGAACACGGCTTCCAGAAGTTGGGCAACTATGGTCACTTTCCCACTCCAGGCATCCACACCGATGACGTCTCTGTGTTGTGCGACTTGCCTGCATTACCTGATGGAATCCTCACACCTGCCCCACCAGGTGGTCTCACTGTTCCTAAAGTTCAGTGAGGACAAGAGGTTTGGAGAAATTGCACCGCTCCCCTTGGTGACCTGGCTCATTGGTGTCAGAGCCAGCGTTCAGTGGTATCTTGCAGCCACTCCTTGATGCCACAGATGTCCCTCACAAACCTGGCCTCTCTTAACCCCATCTCGCCTCATATTTTCTCATGAGCCCAGAATACGGTTTTCAAAGGACAGCCACTATCTCCCTTCCTTCGAGCATGCGTGCCTGTGTGCATACAGACTGATGTCCAAGAGGACCCCTGTGGCTGGACCCAGGGACCTCACACAGACAGGACCCCTGGTGGCCCGTCGTGGCATTACAGGGCTCCTGAGGTGCCGTGCACATTCGAATTCACTGCTACACCTGCCCACAAACTAGACCCCGTCGGCATGGAGAGACCTTGCCTGGGGGATGGCAGGGTGGAGAGGGACTTGGGGAGCTGCCTGGAGGAGGAAGGTGGCAGCAGGGGCAGCTGGAGGGGGAGGAGAGGTGACGGCCGCAGGTGGAGTACCAACTGTCTCCGTGTGGTTGCCTGCCCACAGCTGCTATCCTGGACGACCCCATGGAGTGCAGCAGAGGGGAGCGGCTCTCCATCACCCTGGCCAAGAACCGCATCAACCGCGCTCCCGAGAGGCTGGGCAAGGCCAAGGTCGAGGTGGACATCTTCGAGCTTCTCAGAGACAGCGAGTACGAGACTGCAGAAACCAGTACGTAGCATGGGCGGCGCTGCCTTCTCCCTCCCTTGCTGCACAGGACGAGCTGTTGGTGTGAACTGCAGCCTTTGCCGGGCCCTGGCGGAGATATTTCCTGGGGAAGGAGAGAAGCATGAACCTGGGGCCCTGTGAGTTTCCTGGCGTAGATGAGATTCCCAGGTTTTGCTGTGAGTCACATGCAGAGTAGAATGAAGACAGAATACTCGAAGCATTCATTCATCCACCCACTCATTCATTCCTTCCTATATTGATGCATCCATCTCCTGGACATTTGTACACAAATCCCAAAATGAAATCTTGTGTGTGATCGAGAAAGAAGAGATACAGGTGGTCCGAGGGTAGCTACACCACTGTCCGTCTGATTGCTTGTCGTGCCTTCTTGTGCTGAGGGAGTGTTGTGGGAGGAAACCAGGACTTGGGGTGGAGTTTAGCCACTCACTCTCTGGGTAGCCTCAGACAGGACAAGTCCCTTATCTGAACCTCAGTCTCTTCATCTGTAAAATGGGAATGCTAGGCTGTACTTTGCAAACCTTGCAGATTGTTGTGAGGTTTAAATTTCTTAAAATATAGGAAAATCTGTGAATTGGAGTGTTTTATAGACACACAAAATAGGTCATTCAAGTCACCCATATGGAGCCTCGATTATGCACTGGGCACAGCTTTTAATTCTCACAATAGCCTGAGAGTTAGCCTGTTACTGCCTTCCCTTTAGAAAAGAAACTGAGGCTCAAAAACATTGAATAGTTTGCCCAACCACAGAGCTAGTTCATAGCAGAGCTGGTCCTGGACCCTTCGAGCCCAGTGCACAATCCACCGCACCTCCCTGCAATGCTCTAACGTGTTGCTGGCATTACCCTGGCAGCTTTGCGGGATTAGGCCCACGTCGCTGGGCTAGTGGCTTGTAGCTAAGCTGAAATGAACAGCTCCGGTTTAGAGGGAAGGAGAAGAGCCCCTTAGCCCAGGCAGATGACAGCATCTATTCCCTAAGACTTTGAAGAGTCCCTGTCTCTCCCCTTTCTAGTCCATTTGAACCTTTAACAACACTCAGTGACAAAAATAAATAAACAGAATAAAACAATTTGCTCAAGTATGTATGTCAGACATCTGGTCTTCCATCTGAAGATCCAGCCTGGGCTGTTGGGAGTGCAAAAAAAGGAACACAGTCACGCTGGCCCCAGCCCAGCAGGTGGGTGTTGTGAGGCCCCAGAGGGGGTAAGAAGGGGAGGTCACAGTGACTCTGGAGACCCACCAGCCTCTCTCTCTCTTTCTCTTCCTAAACCACTTCGGTACGGCCGGCACTCACGGGCCGCAAAACCTCGCCCACGGCCGGCACTCACAGTCCACACAATAATCTGTGCTGGGCATTGACGAGAATCCGTTTTGCCCTTGTGTGATGAGGAAAGCTTTAAAGCACTGAAAGCTTGTTTTACTTTACAGGCAGCTTTACTTGTAATGGAAATCAGAATAGCTAACATACACATATATGTTTTTGTTACGTTATTTTTAAATGTTCACAATTTTATTTTGATACATGAAAAAATTAGAAAAGTCAAGTTTTGTTATTAGCGCTAAAGTCGACGCTCGGCTGTGCGCCTTCCTATCTCGGCTGTCGGCTACAGTCGACGCTGGGCTGCGCGCGTTCCTCTGTAGCTGTCGGCTATAGTCGACGCTCGTACCGAAGTGGTTAATGCTCTTGCAATATTGCAGGTGCGTGCTTACCCTGCTGCTAGTTTGGTTTCCTTGGTTTATTCATCAAGTATCTGTCCCATAATGGCTGCCCAGGCCTGATTTACTCTTTAGTTATTCATACGAGAACTTTTATTGAGCATTTTCTACATTTCAGACATGACTCAGGTTATCGTGCGCTGAGAACGACATAGGAAACAAGACAGACAGGTGGCTTACAGGCTCTTTTCAGCATGCATATGAGTGGCAGCTTCCCTCAGCACCTCTTAGTCTCTGGACGTCCGGACTCTGGATCTGCTGGACCGGCTCAGCTTACTGTGCGGCTGGTCTGATGAATTGCAGGTGTTGGCCAGACTGCCTAATATAGACCTAGGGAGAGTGTCCACTTCCGGTCCTGTAGCTGTGACTTAGTGTGACTCCGTTCACACTGTTCAGAGCAGGGTCATTGAGGCCAGATAGATCTTTGCACACAGATTCCTCCATAAGAGGACATAGGGGAACAAGTACCTAAATAGTCATTCATTTATTCATTCATTCAATACATATTTAGTGAGCACCTATTGTATTTTATTCCAGGCAAAAATGATTCATCAGGGAGCAGACAAAGATCTTAGCTGTCACAGAAGTCAATTTCTAGTATAATGAAAGGAAAATTCAGATTTCCTGGGATTTTTCAAATGAAATCAGAAATGCCAGCAACGACTTCTTGTGAATCTCCTAGTCCAGTCTGAAGCGCTTCTTTGTCCAGGAGGGCAGGTCTCAGAAAAGGGCCCAGATTTCTAAATAGTTCTGTAGTCTGTTGTACTTTGGAAAACCAGCTCCTCTTTTCTTCAGTTCTTCAGAGCTCCCATGCAGAACTGAGAGAGCAGAGATTGGCCCATCAAGGATGGTGTCGTTAGCAGATGTAAATTTCCTCTTCCAGTGACATGCAGCCTGGCTTAGGGAAGTCAGCGCATCTAAAATATTAAGCCAGATGAATCGGAAATAAAGGAAACTAATGTCTTTATTCCACACTACAGAGCTTTGGACATCTTTTTAATGTCCTTCCTTTAGACACCAAGTATTTCCTTAGCAAGTGGCCTTCAGTTCAGCTTTTACATCTCAGTGTGTTTGAGGCATAATTAGCATTTGTGAGAAAAGAGGGCTTCTGGATCTTTCCACTCCAAAGGCCTTTCATCTGAAGCCAGAGTGTTGCCCCACAATGGGTTTTAAACGCCACCCAGGTAGTTCAGAAAAAGGTTCCCGCCCAGCTCTTCCCCTCTCAAAGTAAGGGGGCGGGCAGGTGCCGGATTAAACACCCGCCACGTGTTGGCTGTTGCAGGATATGGCAGGGACCGGGTGTCAGAGGCAGTATTGGTGGAAGGAGTGTGGGAAGGAGACAGGACCCCTGGCTGCAGGAGGGCCAACAGCTCTGTGATCCCTGCTTTGGGGAGGTTGTGTGGTGTACAGATTAGGAGCTTGGATTTTAGACTCAGACTGACCAGGTTTAGATCCTGGCTCTACCATTCATTAGCTGCTTGCCATGGACAGGCTATTTAACCATTATGTGCCTCAGTTTCCTCATTTGTAAAACAGGGGCGATGGTGATAGCACCTCATCAGATGGTCTGGAACATTCCGGAAGACAGCATAGATGACGTGCTTAGCACTGCGCACGTAGCAAGTATTCAGTAAGCGTCAGCTATGGCTTCTGCTATCGGCTTTATTCTCTCGCCCTCACACGTCGTCTCCCTCTGTTTCAAACTTCAGCCACACTTACTGCGGCAGTGCTGTCTCCCAGGCTCTTCTCCAGTGGCCTGCTTAATGTCAGCGCCCATCGTAATTGGATATTCCCTTCTCTTTCCAGCTTTCTGGGTTTGATGCATCTGACAGCTTTGAGCCTCTGCAAGTGGTGGGGACACCTCAAGCCAGCGGTGGCGGCTGCTCAGTGTCAGAGGCTGTGATTTCCCTGGGCTAGTGGCTGGGGGCTAATTTGCAACGGTTAATTAGTAAACACAAGAGTGGCTCTGGAGCCCTGGGCAATTCCCCCAGCCCCACGCCTACCACCCCCTTGGCCAGGGGATCTGTTTCAAGGAGATGAAAGAGACCCTGGTGATGATGTTTCTGGTTGTGGCAAATAGAGCTCTGATTGAAGCTGGGGCTGTAGCCACCCAACAGGGCACGTTTGTACCTTCCTTTCAGTTATAGGTGGGTTTCCCAAAGCTCCGTACACATCACATTTAACGAGTTGTATTCAGGGTGGGAGAGTCAGTCGAGGGAAGCAATGGTTATTTCAAGAATCAAAGATTATGAAGTGTAAAGCAGCTAACAATGCTGGAGTCCAGCGGCCGACCCCCTCGTCTGATGGTTGGAAACGAGGTTCGGGGACAGGAAGTATCACACGGGGCGTTAATTAATAGCCGACCTGGAAACCGGGAAGGCATGAGTAGAAAATCACCCCCCTGTCCTGTCTGGCTCAGGCAGACAGGTTTTCGTGCGGTGGGTTTATTGAAAGTGGGGATCACTTGTAAAGCGTCCTCCAACCACGTCTGAGGTCCCGCCGCCACCCCGGCCCTTCTGCTGTTACCGCCCCAGGCTCCTGCTGTTTGGCCCCCTCTACACAGCTCACAGATCTGAAATAACAGGGATGACAAGACCTCCAGGGTCATCTCCTGTCCCACCTGGCCCTTCCTTCTCTCCCTTCCATATCTCATCTGCATCTCAGTCTTTCTTTTGCAGGGAGCTGCCACAAAGCCTCCCCTCCCTGTTCCTATAGATCAGTGTGTCCCCCGTGGCTGACATATTAGAGCTGGACTAAGTGTGCACCCCCCCTGCCACTCAGACACCCCGAGGCACTGGCCCTGCTGCTGCCAGAGCTGGTTTGAGGTTTAATTTACTGCAGAGCCAGAAACAGGGGCCTCCCTGCCAACCCCTCAGCTCCGCCTCGGTTTGTCTCTGTGAGGCCAAGCATGCTGTCGGCTGTCCGCGGTTTCCCCTTGAAACCGGGGGCACCGTGGTCACCCCCAGAGTGGGACACGGTGTGTAGTGTTCCTGCTCCTCGTGCCTGCGCCTCCTGCACGGGCTTCTGAGCTCCTGCAGGCTCCACGGCACGACCTGTGGCCATTAATAAGGGAGGTTAGCATCCCTCCAGCAGTGCAGTAGAGTGAATGGAAGTTGCGTAAGGAAAAAAAAAGTAAGAAGCTAGAAGAGAAAGGCAGCAAATAGCTGTGAGTCATTCAACAAACATCCTTGCTCCTCTTCTCAGAGTTTTCCAGGTTGCACGGGCACAAGGTGGACTCAGAGCTTAGAGATTGTCTGGTCCAACCCCCT